CGTTTTGTCATCTCTATTCAGTCAGAGACTATGTACAATATCCTGAAAGTTCTACAGCTATTAGTTTAATTTATGTCAGTAAGTTGAGATGACGCTTCCGCCTTTCTCAATCAGTAATCATTCTCCTTGACATTACTTCCGAAAACTAGTATATTAATATTGACTGAAAATTTTTTCGGCACGAAATTTTAGTTGAATTTTTCAAAGTTGGAGTATATGTTGAAGCTGAAAGAAAGTTTCATTTATGTGTAAGGACATGAAGTTTATTGCAGATAGGCTTTTGATGTCGACATTGACATATTAATATGACATTCTAATCGTTATAATTTTGTAGTTTGAAGGGAAGTAAATGATTACACGCAAATTAATAAATTTTAAGATCTTAAGGAGATCTTTATAAGATCTAAAAGAGAAATCCCCTAATTTTAACTCGTTGTGATAAGAGCTTCAAACGCGATATTTTTTCATCTTACTTTTTTAGAACTACTAGTTTTTGCACATTATTTTAGAAAAAGTATTTTTCTTTCATGATCCCTAACCTGCTATTTTCTAGACAGGCAAAATTGTAGCGCAGTCAGGAGGCTCCTTCGGTATCTTCATGTCGGTTGCGCAAGGACTCCGGTGTTGACATGTAGGTAATCTGTATTATCTATTATTTGGTATTTTGTCTTTTTCTGGATAAACTGGAGATACATTCTTTCTATTTTAAGTACTACTTTATATAGTAAAGATTCATTTCAGAACGATTTACCTGCTCAAAGCTTCAGTGTGATTGTTATACTTATATGTTCGGATGTACTTTCTAAGTTGTAGGATTTGTTGAGTTTCTTCATAGTTGGTTTTTACCTCATAGGCATATAAATCTTGCTTATATTCTTTTGATCTTTTATAAGTGCAAGTGGTTGAGGATGTAATTAGATGTGAATAACATTCACAACCTCGTCACTCAATAAAAACTGCCTTCGTTTTCGCTTTCCCATCACAAATGTGCACTCACGCTATGACATAACGAATGCATCGAATACCGCGTTTACTGATGATTTACTTAATGATAGGATATGCCGCTATGTACAAATGTCGAGTGTAATCTCCGTTTGAAAATTGCTGGAAGTAAGGAATTGGTCCAGAAAAACTTTGTAAATTTTACATATAAAATTTGCTGGCTAGAATCCGATGAGGACTGCTGAGTTTAGATTTGAATGATTTGAACTCTACTTTGATAAGGTTTTCGAATCTGCTTTCCTCCGGCGCTGCTTAGAAAATCCTTTTCTGCCAAAGATAGAGCGTGGAACCACCAATGTGGAAGTTGGTTAATAAGTTAAAAAGTTTGAAGAACTCTAATCTATAGCCAGAGGATGACCACAAAGTGAGAACTGTTGTTCATGTTTTTTCCACATCACTAGAAATTGTGCATAGAAAGGGAGCGCGACAAGAGACGAGATAACGCACCTCTGTGTGCTTTATGGAAAGCAAGAATGGCCATTAGGCACAACTACCGTAATATGTACTATCAAAGTGATAGAGAGAAGTCTGTTAGTAATGGGTAAGTATGCCGTTGCATGATGTCATATTCACTTCTTAAAAAATAGGTACTAATTCTCTGATGGGCTAAATGGCAGTTGAAAGCAAAATAGGGTCACATAAATTCCCTACCGAACCATAGTCGAAAAGTGGTACATATATGAGGAAGAGTGACACAAATATGATGAACTGTGCATTCGTCCAGCTATACGGTGTCGATTAGCACAGTGAAAATAGATGAAATCTTTTTCTATTATTTGATCAAAAAGGATCTATGGTAGCTCATAAGCTATGATAAGCATTGACTTAAAAAGTTGTTCTGATCTTGTTCAGCACAATTTGCAAGAGTTTAAGCAAACTTTGCTGTTTTTTATTTTGTAGAGAAAAAGATACAGCAGGAGCTCAACTGGACTTCCTCGAATTTACGGCAGCAGTTAAAAACTAGCATGTGATTGTCCAGTCTGGTTCAGCTCATTATCGGCTCGGCTTAATATAAAAGCGCAAATTTCGAGATGCTCATCATTCGAATGGCAGCAATGGGTATGGCTACTGTATTCTACTTTGGATTTCTCACAGTACAGGTGAGTCAAAATGAACATCAATGTTGGACATATAAATAAGCTGTGATTTGCATATTCTAAATATAAAAATCGTCTTCTAATTGTCTGAGCTTTGACCAAATAATATCTAGCATGTAGACAGAGCCAGACTGTAGTGTTTTTTCATTGCGGCAGCCAGAAATCAATGTAGTTATCTTCACTGTATCAAGGTCATCACCTAAGATGCTTTGTATGCTTATTATAGAAATCGTAATCAGTGGATTAGGAGTCATATGGGGTCTCCTTTACTTGCCTTTTCGAATTTACAATAATTTTTGGTTTTCCAGGTTTTGTCCACTTGCCCATGTGCTCAATACCTAGCAAGTCCATGCACCTGCCAGGCTGGAATTACTCCTTACTGCACCTGCATGAGGCCTCTCCTTCAATATTCCTGCCCTTGCTCACCTTTGGCTTCACCATGTCATACCGCTTGTCAACATAAATGCACATCCATGTGCGCTAGCAGCCATTATGGATCGAACTGTCCTTCTTCTTGTAGTTTTAGCTGTCTACAGTCTTGCATGCATCAGCAAGCCATTCCAATTCACGTCATCATGAACAGACTGGTGGCCTCATCGGACCAGTGTATTCCACTTTGTCGAAAATCTTGTGAAAAGTCCTGCACACCTATGGTTTCCGCTGCGACGTGTGTGCCTCTTTGTAAGCAGCCTTGTGAGCAGAGGTGTTCGCAGTTTACACCTGCGTCAGTAACAAACTGCATTCCGATGTGCAGACCCGGCTGCTCGCCTCACTGTATCATGGGACAGCGACTGTTTCTCATCCAGAGTCTGGGACAACCCGGTTTTGTTCCCACTTTGATTGCTCCACTTCAGATCATAACCAATCTGCCCGCTCTAGTCTCTGGATCATTTATTCCCAAATCATCTAATTCTTCTTCGACGTCTGAAAGCCAGAGCCAACAAAATCAGAGTTCTAGTTTGGGAGTTCCAGAAGCTACTCGAAACTACTTATCTCCAGGTGCACCTCCACAAGTAACAATGGAATCTACGCTATTTCCAGGTTCGGCAGTTGAACAAACGTCTCATTCGCAAACCACAGAAGATCTAGAGCCTCAAGGTAAGCACAGCTTTAATGAACAGCATGAGTCACTCCTTGCAAGCAATCTTCATATGGATCATCTCACTGAATCAACAGTCGCTGATGCAGTAGCTACTCAATCACAAGGACCCGTTAGTAAACAGTTTTCCTCATCATTAGGCTCAATTACGCGATCCTCCACTCATTTTACATTCACTCCCCTGCCAAACACCAGTGTAGTATCTACCGGGTCATCCAGTTTCGCCAGTGCAGGACAAACACAAGTCCCCCCTTTAGATCGTTTATTTGAGGGAGCAGAGCATCAAAGACCGTTCCAAATGCAGCCATTTATCTTCACCATATCGACTCCAGCACCCGTCCAACGTTGTGTGGCTGCTTGCATGCCATTATGCGACCCAAAATGTATTAAAGAGAAAGAGCAGTTGACTCAGCATCCTCTTCATGCATCCTCAGTAACAGTAGGCAGTGGTCAAACGCGAGGATACGAATACGAGTTGGGGCAAAGTTCCGTAGCTGGTAGAAAGACTGACGTGCACAGGTACGTTCATTTTTTGCTATCGTTTGGTATTGAACACACATTTTTCATTTCAGATTTCATGCTACCTCTTTGAATAACGCTACTGCAGGACTTGCTCAATAGATTCTTGTTGTTGGTGTGAAGAAGGACATCATCGGAAGAGTGCAGTTTTTAAAGCAATTGCTTTTTCTGTACAGATATCATAAATATTGCTATATGACAAGCTTACCATAAGTTGGATTTAAAATTTCCTGTCTAGTACTGTCCATTCACGTAAGCAAAAGTATGTCAGAAAAGAGAAGGAACATTGCAAAGGTAGTAAAACTGTTCAGTCCAATGAAGGGAAGTTTAGTGTATAGGGTTGTTCACAACTCATTGCTCCATCTCTTAATTCACTCATCACCTAGTACATCCAACCAACATCGACAAACGTTTACTTAGAACTACCTTCATTATGAAAGCCAATTATGAACAACAACAGTATCACGTTGGGATTGTCTCATGCTCTGCATTTACACCGCGAGGACAGTCTCCAAAACCGACAGTCACGGGTTCAATTCCCGGCCGTGGAGAATATTTTGTGTAGTGCAAATGTTATGACGTTCAATCATGACCGTC